TTGTAATTGATTTTAATTATTTTTCATATTGTAGAGGGGTAATAGTTAATTCAGACTTTTCACTTATTGCATATTGTATGTATTTATAATAGGCTGACATTTAAATTTTGTTTTGTGATCTGTCTGGAACTTTTGTATCATCTACCTCAATATTATTTATTTTTAAATACATATAAAATATAGGGGCCAGTCTTAACTACTTTTGTAATACTGAACCTTCTGTATTATCAAAAGTAATTAAGGCCTGTGTCCCAGATCTAGTGTTTAAATTCACATTTATTATTGAATGCAGAAAATTAAATTGATGATGGCAGTGATCAGCTTTTTGTACTTCTACTTCAAAAGATTACAAATATTAAGTATTATTTTACATAACAAATAAATATCAATGATCATTTTCTAAGATATCCAGATACAATCATTTTGATTACTGATTAATTAAATGAAAATTTTTTGATCATCACTCACTTTACTGTTTTAGTTCTTGGCATAAAATCTTAATATTTTAGGATTAATTACATCTAATTTTAGAAAATTAAAATTGTTATGGAAAAATGTTTGTGGATACAATAGTTACTAATGATAGGCTTAACTTTGGACAGTGAAACTTTGCATGATCATTCAAAAACAGTTTCAATAAAAATGCAAAGTTTTGTTAGAGTTCTTTGTCAAAACACTGAAAGTTATAGGAATTTGCTTTATGTTAAAATTGTATACTTATTTTATACCACACATTACTGTACTGTACTGTACATACCAATTTTTAATTAACATAATTTTTATGTAAAGTGAAATATTGAAAACATTACAATGAAAATTCTTTTTTGAATGCAAAAATAAAATATTAGTACATTTTTTTACAAATAACATTTTTGGCAAAGTTTCAAATATATTTTTAGTGAATTATATAAAAAAAATAAGTCAGCATGTTTTTTTATTTTACACTACTTGAATTTTATCCTTTAGAATTATTTCAAATTCTCTCAAGTCTCATTTCCAGAAAACATAAAAATTCTTTGTTCTATATCCACTACTATAAACTGCAAATAGAATTTTAAATACAGGAGATGGAATAAAGATGGACAAACAATATAAATGAACAAAACTGACAATGAAAAACAATGTTAAATCGGATAGAAAATAATCCCAATAATGATTTTTATCTTTATCTATAAATTTATATTTCTCCTACCTATTTAAATTTTGACACTCTTCTCAGCATTATACAGGCCATGTTTTTTTTCCATCAGAAAACAGAAAATACTTGTTTTCTGGTGGAAAAAAAAATTGAAGTTTTACTTGTGTTATTCTAACTTTCATTAATTTATACAACAGACATTAAATTTTTTCCTTCTTTCCTTTAACAGGTATTAGAAGTAAGAAACAAACTTTTTAAAAAAACACCTCTTCTGGTAAAAATTTCCCCAGATACAACATATTCAGAAAGAGAAGATATTGCTAAAGCTGTGAAAAGAAAAGGGGTAAACAAATTTTGTGAATTATTATTTTTATAAAATTTAAATATGTACTGTACTTACTTGAATAAAATTTCATTAGAAAGAAGTTGATGGATTGATTGTAAGTAACACAACTATTAGTAGACCAGACAATCTTATTGATTTGGTTGAAAATGATGGTGGTCTGAGTGGCAAACCCTTAACAAATATGTCAACAGAAGCCATCAGAGATATGTTTGTACTTACTGAAGGTAAGATTAATTAAAATTTAAAAAACAGCAGCAGGTAAATAACTTAACTTTTATTTTTAACAGGAAAAATGTTAATTATTGGAGTGGGAGGTGTTTTTACTGGCAGAGATGCCTATGAAAAAATTAAAGCAGGTGCTTCCCTCATTCAGTTATACACAGCACTTGTGTATAAGGGTCCACCTGTTGTTACAGAAATTAAGAAGGAATTGGAAGATTTATTGAGGTAAATGTTGTCATACTTCTTTTTTTATAGGATTTAACTTAATTTAAAATTCAAAAATATTTCCCACAGGGCAGATGGATATGCAAATATAATAGAAGCTGTTGGAGCTGACATAAAATGGGGAGAGAGAAATTTGCCTACATAATTTATTTTTATTTATTTGTAAATATTGTAAACATTTGATAAGCTGTTTTATATAAAAGAATATTCTCATATTTGTAATTATAAAAAGTTTAGTTGTTATTGTTGTGTATACTAATTTTTAAAAGTTATTTTATACAAACAAATAAAATTTAAGCAATTTAGCTATTTTTCAATGCAGTTTTCTCATTTCTCTTTTCCAATTTAATCTATGTAGTACCATACATTATTAATTAAATAATTATATAATTTTTATGAATATTAGATGACTTCTGGTGCATACTATAATATCTACAGTAAAGTAAATTTGAAATAACATAAGTATTTGAGAGTAGTTTAAAAATGCAGGTTGTCAATTAAATGAAAAATACTTGGAAAATTTTATCAAGAACTGTTTTTTTTTTTATGACAAATAATTAAAATACCATTACTGTGAGCATATTTCTTTTTTTATAATAGATGAATGTTTTATTCTAATTAGAAAATTTTATCAATTTAGCATAAACTGCAATATAATTTATTTGCTTTGTATAAAATTCCAAAACAATATTATTTGAAACTTTGAAATTAATTGAAATAAAATTCAATCAGATAAAAATGAAATATTCTGTCTACTTGATAAAAGTTCAATCCCAGCAACAAATTAAAATGCTGCATTATTTTGAAAACATATACAATATACAGTATTACATCAATAAATGTAGCAAAATTAAAAATTAATAAAATCTACTTTTAACATTTAACTTATGTACTAATGAAAAAAATTTGATAAATATAAAATTCAAAATCTTTTCCTAATTTGATAACAATGTTGTAAATATTTAATTTAAAATCTTGATAAAAATCAGCAATTTTCAATAATTTTAAAAACAAGTTGATGATACATATATTGTTATAAGAAAATATATGTGTGTATATAAAAATTAAATATGAATATTTAAATTAATAACGTTCATGCACATCTCTTTCTTAAATTTCCTTTTTATTCTGTCAACAATTAAAACAATGGTGTAAGTATAGCTTTAAGATTAACGGTATGAGAATACAAACCCCCTTCACTATGAAAATTAAAACCCTATTTTACGTAACTCATTGTGAATGGTTGAATTAAGTGTAAACTTTAACTAAATCATAAGGCTACGGTTACTGTTGATGTGAATTCTGATGAAATCTTGATCTGACGAGTTCGTCCAAACAAACAAATACCTGTTTTCCAATCAGAGTGTTTACTTTGGCAGCAAAGGGCATGTCAGAACACGCACAATGTAGTCAGAACCATTCGAGTGTTCAAACGAGTTTGATTTTTTGTGTGTTCTGATGTTAAATTTCGAGTGTTTTGGCTTTTTCAACATGGATATTGATAAATTGATTAGTCTTGTGTTCGAGAATAGGTGTTTGTGGGACATGAAAGATAAAAACTATCACAACAGAGATATTTCTTGGCAGAGATAGCTCTCATTCTGAAATACTCAAAACTTTTGTGGGTTGTTCTACAAATCTTGATATAACATTTGGAACTCTCCCTTATTGTCTCTTGTGGAAAATAAGTGGTTAATCAATGGACTTTCAAGAAAATAAAACTCATCAAGTTTGTTCATTTTGCTGGGAGGCAGAAACATACTGACTGTCAGAAAATGCACAGTGTACCCACCTTGTTCTGATGAGGATTTCAGACATATTCGTCAGAACAAGATTTTGTCAGAATTCGCATCCACAGTAACCGTACCTTAACGTTAACATTAATAAAGCTTGGAGTTTGCAAACTTTGTTTACAAAGTCCAGGTTTTTATGCTATTTATGTGATTTAAAACAAGAAACAATCATATTGGTTATGGAATTTCCACTGATGAATCTCTCTCTGGTTTAATGGACAAATCCCTCACTTTTGTTTTCTGATATAAAACATCTAACATGTATGCTTCGTCCATATATACATCCATAAACTGGACAGCTTTATCATCAGTCGTCATGCAAACATCAATCTATTTCATTGCAACCACTATATTAAAATATATATGAATTTTATTTTTTAAAGTGCATTATTGGCTGCCCTGGGAATTTGATTGCCTGCATGCATGCACACACACACTGCTCACCTACCAGAATCGGCCGTGATTCTGACACATCTTGACAAAGATGCCCCATTACCTTTATGAATGCACTGTGGACAATATACACCGAATACATGCCAACATCTACAAGTCTTTTAGGCTGAACATGAGCATATATTCCTGGAAAAGCTGGAGAACTCTCTTATTTACATCAGGTCCATCAGACCCTATCAATAAATTTATGAGGCAGTTAGCATTAACTTCACACTACGTCGGTATTCTTTTTCTTCAAATAATGGACTGATACAAAACTAGTGCCAGAACGTCGGAGGCCGGATAGCCAAGCAATCAAGGTGGCAGCCTACGGCTCTGGGGGACCCAGGTTAGAATCTGAACGGGGCGAAATAACCCCAGGAATTTTTCGGGGTGGTCTGTCTGGATATGTTGGGCCCCATCCCTCACCACCCAGTTGCCCCTTTTTTTAAAACACTTTCTGCCCTGTGGGCACTAAGAGGGCCTCTTTTAGCAGGCTCATTATGGGTTCGGCCAAGCCCAGACCCAACATATCCAAATGGATATGTTCGGGTCCACCCCCGAAAAATTCCTGGGGATTTCTCAATCCGTCCGGGTTCCCCAGAGCAGTAGGCTGCCACCTTGACTGCTCGGCCATCCGGCCTACTGGTCGCCCCATTGTCGGCCTGATAAAAGAGGGTCTCTTAGTGCCCAAAGGGCAAAGAGAGTTTTAAAAAAGTGCCAGAGCGTCTTAAAGCCTTTACGCTTGTGATAAAGAGAAGACTTTGATCTTGATTCCACTAAGTAATAAGTTTCCTAATTATTTCTGAAGCATTTTTCTTCATTTTTTCAGTGAACTTCGCAGATTTACATGTGTCATATGGCGGCCGCGTAAAAACTTCAAACGTTCATAACTTCCTGATAAGTGCATCTCATGTATTAGATGAGTTTATTTATTTTTGACATAGAATCATAATATCCAATTTAAAAAATTTAGGTTTTCCTTCAACAAAATAAAATTGATCACGTTTGCACCCATTGTAAAGCCTTCTATAATGAAACGGATAGCCCTCTTAAAGTTTTAGTTTAATGAATTTTTCGAGTTATTCTAATAGGCATTTTTCGGAATAGATCGATTAAAATCCCTATGCGAATATAAATCTAAAATTACTTTAACGTATCTTTGAGTTAAAAAAATTCACACAGACGTGTGAAAATTTTTTGCTTTATCGAAAATTAATAATAAAAAAAAACCCGAATAAGCGACTCAAAAGGTCAAACCAGACTAATGTAGATCAAATCGGATGCAAATATACAAATACAGGCATTCCAAAATCCGAAATACCTGGTCCCAAGCATTTCTGATGCAAGATTCTCAATCTGTATCAGAGTTAATTGCAAAATTTAAAAATGTATAAGAAAATAAATACAAATGCGGTAGCAAATATAGACACGAATACTGTATAACAATTATCCAGACAAGGCCGGTCCAACCGCATGGTCAAACTGGGCATTTGCCCAAGGCGGCAAATTTTCATTTAACAAAAAATAAATTTTACAAAATTTTCAAATATTGTTTTATTTATAATTACATTTCACCAGTTGAGTATTAATTGACAAAGCAAGTTCCTCATGGTGCGCTCATTCACAATCGTGCAGATTTGCTTACTTTGCGCGTCTTAGAACTTATGGTGGCACTAGTGGCGTGGGTGATGACAGAGGGTACAATTGCAGATGTGAAGGTCCCAACGGCGTCATTGACAGAGCTATAGAGCATGTCCATAGGAGCAAAAAAGTCAAAGAAACCATACCTCTAAACATGACCTTTACGATATATAGCTCCTGGAAATCAGTCGCATGCAGCTACGCACCGTGCACTCCGCTATCGCATTGAACTATTTAGCCACGCGAATGTGCCGGCTTCGAGTAGCCCACTTGACTGTTCGTGAAAACACGAGTCAAACACTAATAAGTCTAGCTCTAAATATTTTCTAGTGTTAGAATTATTAGTGTTTGATTCGAGATTCAGAGTTGGTGAATACCAATTTACCAATATCTCGAGAGTTAACCCTAACTCTAACTCGTGTTGGTGAATACGGGGGTGAGAGATATTATTATTAGTAGTAATTGAACGTATTGTAACATGCATAAATATATAGCCTTAAAAAACATTACTATTTGCATTAATTATAAATTCATTACTCACATGACATACTCAACCATCACATTGTCTGGATAATGATATTTTGGAAAGGATACTTATAGAAAAGACAGTTTAAGACTAAAATCTCACTCTGCCAATTATAGATGGAGTTGACGTAATGTTTGCTAGGTGGAATTACTTGGCATTTTTTTCTTTAATAAGTACAACTTTGCAATTTCTAAATGCTTATTTTCTAAACAAATTATAACATACTACATAATTGCAGTATAATTCCTTATATACAGTAGTATTTTTTTTTAATGAAATTCACCTGAACACAAACTATATTTAAATAATTTTATAACTTCATCATTCCTGTTATAGTTCTCCTTTTTATGCTTCTCTTTAATATGTCTGCTTAAGTTAGTAAAACACTATTATTTTTAATAATACTTTTAACAAAAAGACCACTCACAGGTTTCACATTTTTATAAAACATTTATTAATTTGTAATTGCAAATTTACACAATATTACAAAACAAACTACAGTATAATGAAAAAGAAAGTACTGTATATCATTAAACTCATAGCTACTTGTTGGGTGGTCCCCAACTAGCCGATATAATAATTATTTGATTGACACGATGTATCAATATTATATAAAAACATTTATTCAGAGATAACAATGGCTAACTCCAATTTAAACTTTATTTGGGATATAAGCAGTCGAACGAAACGTGGAGCGTAGTTACATGCGACCAGGAGGTAACAGCTAGTCCTGGAAATATCGGTCTTCCGATCTTCCTACGCTATTGCTCCGGCCCTTTTACCGCTTTACAGAAAGTGGTCCGCGACTAATATATACACATGAAATAGCTCGC